TTTTGTACCAAAAATTTGGTACAAAAATATGCATAAATCAGGTGGTAATCAGGTAGTAATCAGTTTAAAATTGGGTATCTGATTTGTGTCTGATTTTTTATCTTTCGACCTGTGAGTGGTTTAGATAGAGTTAAAGTTAACTTTGTATTTGATTGTGTGATTTGTATGGTGATGCACCATAAAAAAAAATCCAGTTACCGTATTTAACGAACTGCTTTTGAGCCAAGACCAGGATGAATTTGTAGCCACCAGTATAAAATTAAAGTTAGTTTTGCATTGGAGTCTTGTAATTTACCGTAAAAAATTCGATAGCTATAGGTAAGTGTATTTATTGTAATTTGTATATGATTTATTGTAAAAAATTTAGCTGTTATCTATTGTAATTACAAAATGATTTAGATAAGGTTATTAGTTTTATTTACTGTGACTATTTTATATACTAATTAATGTAGTAACAAGAGTAATTTAAATAGTAGTAGTTACATTTACTATAAATTCTGTTACCAGGTTGATAAATAATAAATATGTATAGCATTATTAGTTATATAATTAATAATGCCGTTTGAGTTCTATTTTCTTTAGTTCAGTTAATGAATTTTTGTTTGCATTGAACTTTTTTTTATTAGCGCCTCTTTCTGTAATATATTTATTATAAAAGCTTATCTCATTCAGAACCCTTTTCATGTTTTTTGTTAAGATCTGTTAATTGATATAAACAACTTTTGTCATAAATTAAAAGTTTATTACTGCCGAATTAAAAACATTCAGCCAAATAATCATTCAGTCAATTTTTTATTACAAGCCATAATAAATAAAGAATTTGTAACTGGCCTAGCATTTGTAGATATATCAAGAGTACTATTAGGGCAAAATACACGATTATAACAAAAATTTCTTTAAATTTATTATAAATATAGCAATTTATAAAATTTAAATGCTATTTAAATTTAAAACAATTGAGATTCTGGTCTCATACTAATAATATAATTCGAAACTTTTTTTTTTTTACTTGTTCGAAACTCTATTTTAGTATTATCGTTAGTTCTCTTAAGTTATTTACAAATATAATAAAGAATTTAAAGCCAAATAAATTTACTATTAAACCATGTTTGCTTTAGTTTTTTTTGGCTTGGGTTGGTCAAGCAATTTACAATAAAGATTACGTTTCTCTGGATTTTGAATATGTTGCACTACTTCTTCATGCAAATATACTGCCATTCTAAACTTATTTCTTGTAGAATAATTACATCTGGAAAACCAATTTTCCATTTTTAGTTTTTGGAATTGTTGAAACTCGCGCAATTGAAATTTCAGTTTCATTACTATCAAATGATTTTCGAATTTTACTTTTCTAGGATAATTACAGGACATAATAAAGTGATACTGCATAAGAATAGATGGAACTTGCATAAAAAACTGATCTAAAAATTGATTCCAATTATAAAATGTAATTTTTCTATTTCCATTAAAATTAATAATAATATCTGCCTTGTTATATCTACTAGTCGTTGATTGTTCAACAATGTGCATTAAATCATTTAAATCATCAGTCTCTGAATTTCTAAGTTTTAGTTTGAACAACTCGAAAAAGCTATCCAGGCCAAATTTAGTGTGACCAGGAACCATAAAACTATATGTGATTTTGTCGTGTAGACTAGTTATTATTCTCCAACATAGATACTTGATCATTGTATTGTTTTTGTTTTGACCCATGCAATTGTCTGTATGAATAACTACATGCTTTTCACCAAGGCCATGGTTAGCAAAATAATAGTGGACAAGAGATACTACTGTATTGGACCTTTTCCAATACTTTGGTGCTCTGGAATAAGGTAGTTAATCTAAAAAATAAATTATTGCAAATCCTAAATACAGAATTTTAAATCAACTTTTGCAAGAACTTAGCAATGAATTAAAATTAAAAGATTTAGATACTCTCAAGCCTCTCTCTCAATGCTGTCAGCTAGTAAATGAGATCGGCACAGACACTATAATTAATTGAGATAATCTTTATGGAAATCTTACAGTGGGGAATACAAATTTTAAATTTTAAACAATAAACACAACTCTGATAAAAAAAGATGGTCTCAACTATTTTTTTTTCATTCTGATGACAAGCTTACTTGTAGAGTGGGATCCATGAATATCCATGAATATTCAATTAAAAGCGAATATTTATAAATTGTAAATATTCATAAATACTTAATGAAAATATAGCCAAGTATAGAAAAATTTACATAATATTATATTCAATGAATATTCATGGATATTCATATAAAATTTAGATATAACTAAAACCTGTGAATTTCAGTAAATGACTACAATGGATATTTAAAGGATCCCAGCTCTACTCACTTGACCGCCAAATTATTTCCCACTAATTAAAAAATTAAGCACCAATCTATTAATTTAGATGCTTGAGAGCACCCTTAATATATATACTTCAAATTAGAAATATATTATATGCAAGCATTTATCTTACACAAGGTAATATCATGTGAATTATGTGATAAAAGCTTCTCAAATTGATAAATTCATCGATTACTAAGAATTATTTATTACCTCAAATATAATATCACTTTTCATATAACTTACACGAAACTGTAATAAATAAAATCTTAATCTTGCACAGAGTATACTCCAAATAGGGTTGTTAATGAGTTAGGTTGGTTGAGTTAGATTGATCTAATTTTCAACCTACCCTATTAAATTTACTTCAAATTTACTTCAGACCCGCTTCAGGTTATTTTAATTTATAATCAACCTGGAATAGCACTAGAGTATACTGATCTATTAATACCTTAACTCCAAATGCTACATAGTAAAGTTTGGTATGTGATTTAACAGATATGCATGTCTGTGAAATCACATTAATATTAATTTATAACATTTGAATACGTAGCGATCCCAACTATGTAAACATTAATTGGCTAATTATTAACTAGTTAACTAATTAACTAAAATTATTCAAAAAAAGTAAAACGGTTATTTAGTTAACTGCTTAAGATCACTAAATGTGCCATCTGACATAATGAATTTTAAATTTGTCTATTGCTTTATACATAATCAATAAATAATAATAATATACAGCCAGACTTCTCTAAATAAGACTATATATAAAAATTGAGTTAAATATACATTTAAAGAAGTATTTCATTTAAGGGGTAAAAATCTACAAGTATTATATTAGCTGGGCCCAAGAAAGGACATACATTTAGAAAAGTTTTTATAGGCCATGTAGTTGCATTTAGGGGGTCTGACTGTACTTGTAAAATTACCTGCCGTGGTATGGCTTTCTCACATATGCCAAATACTTTGACGTTATATAGGACTTAAAGTAAATGGCACCCTCTTGTTGTGTGAAATAGAGTATATGTACATTCTCTGTGAAATCCCATGAAATGTGATTTTCAATGTTAATTAAATTCAGAATCTCAAATCGTAAAAGATTAGTTAAGGAAGTTAAAGCCATTTTAGACCTAGAAATACAATTCCTAAAATTTACAATAAATATAAGTGCTGCTTATAATAGTAGTTTCACAGATCAGTATGGTATATAGGTAAGCTATAGGCCGATTCTCAAATCTACACTATACTATCACTATATAGAAATGTTAATTAGTCCTGTAGTAATTGTCTAATAAATAAAGTTATAGAAAGTAATTTTTTATAACAATTACTGTGGAACCAATTATTCTGAAAATTCATTTAGCTGACATTACATAGGGCTAGGGTTAGCAGCAGGTATATATTTTAGTAAATTGTTAACGTGATGTCAGCAAAATGACTGTGGGTGGGTTGTATAGAATTAATTAAATCCAAATTATTACCTATAGTTTTCACACTCCAAACTTGCCCAATTATAATGATTAATCCATTCATTTAATTTTTGTAATGTTTCTTCTCTATTCCAATATTTTGTTTCAAATTGTTTTTTCTTACAGAGCATGCATAAGTTACTGTGCAATATCATGAATTGAATTCCAGGAAGATACCTCTTCCAAATACATTCAAAACTCGATAAACTAACTTCATTTATTTCATCATATTCTATGTTATTATAAATTCGGTATAAAGATCTCTTACTTTTACATGTAGGTAAATAGATTATCTCACGAGTGTTATCTCAAAAATTATGTTCTAAAAACTTAATTATCTTAGTAATATAATACAACCAAGATATACCCTATTGAAAAGTATATAAAGTACCAAAATACAAGTGAATCAATATAAGAAAGGTGGTCAGGTCTATAATGAAAATTTACAAAATTTTCTTATATCAAGAGTTTATTAATAACTCTTATATTAAGTAGATTTATTATAGATTGGTCTTTTTATTACGACAGATTTGTAAAATACCCAAAATTTTTAAAATTTTGACCACTTATTTAATTGATATCACATATATATAATGTTATTATTTTGATCTAACAATAATATACTTTAAATTTTCTATTATCAATAAAGTTACTGATGGTCATTGCAAATTATTAAATTGTATATTCGTATATATATATAACGAATAGGTTATCTAATGGAAAAAATGAGTTAAACATATAGGAAAATGAGTTAAATACATTGTTATTGTAGTGCTAATAATTTTTTTAAGAGGTTCAATCTTTAACAAACTTTGTCCTTAAAACTTAAATTTGGGGACCAAAAAATTTGACAAATTTACCATAATGCTTATAGTGAGAGTTTAATTATAATAACAGGTTCTTACAGTAAGAGTTATATATATATTATAACTCTTAATATGTTCATTCATTACTGCAGGATGCTATATATAATCTGTGCATTAATCACTTACCAGGTGATAGGAGTCTATATTGATTGGTGAAATTTAAATACATTTAAGGTAGTTGAAAAAGAAATTCTGTGATTACTAACATGTCTGGTTAATTCATGAATTTTTGGTTTAAGACCAAAATTTTGATAGTGAATACATAAAGCTTCCTATCATCTTTTTTGAATATCATAAATTGTGTAACAAGCTCTTTGACAAATAGAAACATCTTCAAATCTATAGTTTGTTGTTAAATATGTTTTTTGTGTTCATTTTTGAATTCCGTAGTATGCATGCTGATATCAATTATTTCAAGAAAGCATAAATTCGATTCACTTTGTGTTAATGCTTTTATTTCTTGAAATCTTTTAAGTGCTGCCTGGGAATCAACATTTAAAAGACATTTTTTAATACAACAAATGAATTGTTGCAACTTCTCTAAAAATGCATCATCATCCCATTTATCTAACTTCTTATTACAAGTTTTTCATCTTCTGCAATTACGTGCATTAGATAAAGCATATATATTTTATGAAAATGTTCAATTTGTTCAGCTGTAAAAAATTATCTATATATATGACTAATAATTCTGAAGAAGTTTTATCGTAGGTTTTATTATCAATAAACTCATTATCAGACTCTTCATCAGAATCATCATTGGTTAAATAAATATCTTGAAGGTTAGAGATTTCACTATTTAAACCTTCCAATTTACTGTGGGTTTCAGCGAAGATATTATCAATTATGATTTTATTAGCCATCATCAAAAAAAAAAATAACACTTGTTATAAGGATAATACATAGAATTGTTAATAAAATTAACAATAAGAAGTAATATTAGAGAGTCTTATATGGATGGCTTTTATTTACTACTTTATTTTAATTTTTTTTTTTTTTTTTTTAAGCGATCCTGCTTCTATTTATTTTATAAACTACTAAAAGATTATTATTACTATACAAATAACAACCAAAATAGTGTGGTGTTCTATTTTAATAGAAACTCACCAAGCATACAGAGTACTGCCCAATGCGACCTGCTATAACAACTATTTGTCTCACAAAGGAATTCAAAACTCGCTTCAGATTTCGTACTGACTAAGGATACCCCTCTTAATCATTTGACTGGTTGTTGTATACCTTGTCAGGATCACCAACCTTTCTTTCAACTTTTTCTGCCAAAATCTGGGCAGAATAACTATCTTCTACTCTTCTATAAGCAAGAACATATGCCACGTTTACGAAAAACCAAAAATATTTAGAAGAATGAAAGGAAGATCGAAACCAAAAAACTACAAAATAAACTATCTTAAATATAATTTCATCATAAATGGACCAGCAAAAAAAGTAAAAAAGAAAAGTCAGCGATCCCAATGAGAAAAAAGAAAAATGCACTATTATAACCCATGCCAGGCGAGTATAAAAATTATATACTCATAGCAATATTGCATATCTCTATTGTAAGGCTTCGCCTATACTATTAATTTCTCTCTGATCCTACTATTTCTGGAAGTCTTCGCCCGAGTTCTTCTAATCAGGTACTGCCATCGTCCCGCACCAACTCTTCAGTTTCGTGCGGCCCTGAGCCAAAACCGGTAGCACCATGTCCTCTTATGCCAGACACGTGATTGCCATCTACCACGTCAGCCAGATATGGGAATATAAATACTGTATAACCTATGCCGATTATTTGAAGGGGGTAAGCCAAATCCCCACTTTTTGTCGAAATTTTTGGAAAATCAGCAGCAACGCGAGAGTGTAGTAAAGGAGACCACTTGTATAGGATAAAAGAGTGCGGCTTGAAACCAAAAAGTTTTAAAGTTTACTGTACCCCTGGGTTCTCAAGGAGTCCTAAAGGCTTTGCTAATGAAATTTCTTCCACCAAAATTTATATGCAATAGCGAGTGCTACCTGCATTTTCCTCCTTTGCATCTATGCTTCTGGCTTGCATGTTAAATATAGAAGGGAGTCTCGAAGCAGTCATTGACCTCTCTAAAAACAACCAAAACCTCTCTCAAACTATAGTCTACAAAACTTTGTCGACAGTAATGAAAATACCATCAGAATTATACTTTACTTCGTGTAGGGCGCCACCTGCTTGCAAAAATATATCACTTCACCCTTTACAAATCCAGTTTTCAGCTTCTGGCTTGCATGCCGAACATAGCAAGGAGTCCACTATGACCTCACTACAAACTGTCCCGTAGCTACATGACTCTCCAATAAACTTTTTCTACTTTTCCTTTTTGTGAGGAGGGTGGTCCAAGTGATCGTCAGAAAGAGTTGTATCGAAGAGTTTTTTGATTTAACTTGTTTTAAAAAAGTTATAATAATTTAAGGTTTTTATTAATAAAAAGTAGATGCAATTTGCTATCCGGCACTGTACTTTCTGGTAAAATTAACCTAAATAAGTGAATTAATAAGAAATGGTAAATAATTTATAATCTTACCGAGATAGAATAACTTAAGGAGCAGTATAAAATTTTTTGCCATATTTTAAACTATACTTACAGACTAATTTAATATAAATATAGAGAAATGGCTTAGTTTAAATATATCCACTATTATGATTATCACTGACTAAATTAATAAAATAAGAAATCAAATCAAAAATGATTAAGTACTGTTTATTTTTCGCGGATAAGAGGTAAATTCCTGGTTTTATAAGGGCCCGAAGGGCCTTATATAGCCGGAGATCTACCAGCTTATTTTCCCGCAAAGGAAAATAAGAGTGTCTGCATAATTGTAATATTAATATTGATAAACGAGATCAGTATGGTATAGATGATCAGACTAGTATGGGATAGTTTTAAAATAGGTATTTTACACCCTCTTACTACATAATTTGGTCATTCAACTATCCAGATCTTCTGTAATTTCTAAAATACTTATTTTAAAACCATTCTATACAATCTGCTATTGGGATTTTATACATTTTTACACTTGCTGTATGGTCGTGATAACTAGTAAATGCCATAAAACATTCAAGCTTATGACTATCACTAATCTTTTATACGCTTCAGAGGATAATCAAATTTACTCCATAGCTATGAAATTAGAGATGAAAAAATACGCATCTTATAATAACACGCGCATGAATGTGTGTTAATACGCACGTTATAAAATGTGCATAATACCGCATGATATAATTTTTGGATTTTATATTTTCCCTTCAGAAAAATTTGAAAATTTGCTCAGAGGTTTGCCCAACTCTGCTTGTTCTTTTATGTCATTCATTTTCTTTTCGGAACTTTTGTATTCCTATTTTTTAATTCCACTCAGCATTATACTCTCTAGCCTATATAATATATATTATATAAAATTTAGATGAGATAAAATGCGTATTAATTCGCAAGATTGAGGAATCATGTGCCACATGAAACCTATCTCTAGGTGCTATACATTTTTAATTTTCAGAAACTTCGTTTTTATCAAATTCTTACAAGCTATTTCCGAAAATGAAATTTAGAACTTAATAATTTCAAGTTTTCCCTTGGCGGTACTCATTTTAAAATACATCGATTAATGAATTATTGTTATGGTTGCCAGTCAAATTAATCTAAATAAAAGATTTATGAGAAGCGACCTATTAATTAAATCAAACATGAATATGAAAGCTTATACGTAAAAGTACTACTAATTATCAGTTTCTAAAGTGATGGATAATTTGTAATTTTATAGTAATATAACTTACAGAACAACAAAACTTATTATTTAAGCTATGCTCACTAATTTTATATAAATATGAAATAGCTTATATATAGGGTTGGATCGGTTCTGCAAAGATCAGTTAGGAACTGGTCTTTAAACTGGTTAGGCAGTCCTCAATTCCTGGTCTTTTAACTAGTTCAGACCAGTTAAAAATAAACTTTCATTTAAAATAAACTTTAAACTATATCAATATATTTAAAAATCTTCATGTTATTATATAAATATGTATTTATTTTATTTATTTATTTATTTTTAACAATTTAGCAATCTAGCTATCACTTTATTAGGCTTTATAATATATGAGGTGGAGTTAATAGAAAAGGTGCAAATTGTTTTTAATGGAATTTTTTAATTTTTAAATTAAAATATCTCAACAATTAATTAATCAACCTTGCTAAAAATTTTTTATTTTAATTTGAAATTATAAAGAATTAAAATAAAAAAAAACTTATTAAATTTGATAAAATAATTGCTGTGATATTTAAGCTTAAAGTCAAAAAAACTTTTATTTGAAAAAAATTTTTCTTTTTTATTGGCTCTATCACACATACTAAGAAATATTAAACTTTTCCAAAAGGCTAATACTTTAGTATCTAAAATTACAAGTGTTGGCTCCTATGTGTAATCTGCTATAATAAGAATTTATCTCTATACTAATTTATCCTGCAAGCAAGCTTATTAATATTTTATCAAACAGTTCTTATAGCCCATTAAGACTGCCAACTTTCCCTTCTATTTTTTCTTCTTCTCAAGAGTCATAAGACAAAAGAGAACTTTTTAAGAATTGAAATATGAAAATGAAAAAAAAAAAAAACAGAAAAAAAAGAAAAAAAAACACAAATTTTAAAAAAAGAAAACCAAACCAAAAAGTAAAATTAGTATTGATAGTACATATATATGCCTGTGCCAAGGCCTAAAAAATTATATACTAATTGCAACTAATTAATATATCTCAACTATAAAGCTTTGCCTTATTGTTAGAAACTTATTTCAAGCATGTGGCCAAATTCAGATATCTCCTAAACAGGGGCACTAGTCTTTTCTCTATATTATAGTACCATATTAATAAACAAAACAAATACATGGTTGTGTTCTACTAAGTTTGTCTAAATTAGGTAAATGTAAACAATATTAATCTTTTGGAGAGGTAAGCTTGAATGCCTACTTTTTGTCAAAAATTTTGGCAAGACCAGAAAAATATGAGAGAAAGAAAAAACACTTGAAAGTACTAAAAGAGTATAAATTTTTTTTTACTAGAATTAATAGCAATTCTGGAGCCTGTATAGTATTAATTTTTTTAGTAAGTATTAAGCTTTGGGCTTGTCATCAAGTAGTATATAAGAACTACTTCTAAACAACAAGTGCTGGCCTGCAGTAAGTGATAAACTCTAAGGCTATCAGCAGGTAGCATATGAAAACAACATCTAAATAACAGCTGCTATCTTATAGTCCCTTAATATAGTTCAAGTAATTGTTTAAAAAGTAATTACTTCTAAATAATAAATATATATTTATGATTATAGAATTATATTTTTTGATAGAGGTAGCTGCTATTTCTCACAGGAAATAGCTTTTTCTTGTTCAGCCTGTCTAAGCTTATCTCTTTGTTTTTTTTTATATATTTTTGTTTCTCTCTTTTTTATTCCTTATTATTTTCTCTTTCTTGTTTTGTTTCTTTTTTGTCTGTAAACCCTTTTTCTTCTTGATATATGTTCTGGTATTGAGATTACATTCTTTTGCTCTCAGTAAAAAAAGTAAAAATGAGGAGATAAGCTCTTGGTAGGCTGACAAGGTTTTCTAATTTACATGTAGATTGGTGTAACAAGTTGCGCTTGGGCACACTAGATGCAGCCAGGTGATGTCAGGCTTGTAATTTTCTATACTGTTATTATACATTCCATCCAAGTTTGTTTAATAAAGTATTATATTTGAGCTCCGGTAAGACTGTCAAAGAGCTAAAAAAAATATATATATATAGAAATTTTGTAATATATTACTAAATTCATAGCACAAAAATGAATACAAAAAGAAAGAAAAAAGAAAGTACACTATT